AGCTGTGCACCACGCGCCTGGGCAGAGAGCCGGCGGGCCAGAGCAGCTCGTACCTCAGGAATGGCCCGGGCGCCGTGAGACGAGGTCTGCTGCCTGTCCTGTGCCAGACCTGGGCTGCCCAGCGGGGCCCTCGCGGAGCCCCGGAGCCCAAAAGGCCTGTGGGGTCACCCAGAGGTGTCGTGGGACACAACCCAGCTTTTATAAATAGGTAAAGCATAGAAATGAAGGTTCGTGTGCTTTCCTACGGAGCAAGTGTATGTGTAGCACTTGGGCCTGGGGCTTTTATCCCCCCGTTACGCTTCACTATCTGCAGACACCGGGGGAAATCAGAAAGTATTAGAATCCTTAGAAGTAATGTGGTAAGCAGCATCAGGAAGGTGGTTGTCTCTACTTGGCCACACCTCAAATACTGTGTTCACTTTTAGGCACCTCAATACATGAAAGATATTGAGGTGCTGGAAGTGGGTCCAAAGAAGAGCGACTAAGCTGTTTTTTTCTTACGAAGAGAAGAAATTTGGTCACAGCAACCCCCTGCAACACTTCAGACTGGGGGAAGAGTGGGTGGAAACCACATGGCAGATAAGGACCTGGCACTGTTGGTCAACAGCCAACTGAATATGAGCCAGTGTGTTCCTAGGGGGCCAAGATGGCCGCCAGCATCCAGGCTTGTATCAGCACTAGTGGGGCCAGGAGGAGTAGGGCAGGGATGGTCCCCCAGTACTTGGTGCTGGTGAAGCCACCCCTTGCATCTGGGGGTCAGTTTTGGGCTCCTGCCTCCAAGAAGGATCTTGAGGGGCTGGAGTGTCTCCAAAGATGGACAGTGAAGCTGGGGAAGGGTCTAGAGCACAAGTCTAGGGAGGAGTGGTTGAGGGACCTGGGGTTGTTGAGCCTGGAGAAAAGGAGGCGCAGGGGAGACCTTCTCACTCTTGACAACTCCCTGAGAGGAGGTTGGAGTGATGTGGGGGTTGGTCTCTTCTCCCAGGGAACAAGCAATAGGACAAGATGAAATGGCCTCTGGTCGTGCCAGGGGGGTTTAGGTTTGACATGAAAAATTTCTTCCCTGAAAGGCTCATCCAGGTCTGTCCCAGGCTGCCCAGGGCAGTGGTGGAGTCCCCTTCCCTGGAGGGATTGAAAAGCTGAGCAGATGTGCTGAGGGACATGGTTTGGTGGTGCACTGGCAGTGCTGTGCTAACAGCTGGACTTGATCTTAAAGGTCTCTTCCAAACAAAATGATTCTGTGGTTGTATGAGCAGAATATTAAAGTCTGGGTACTCTGCAATACTGTACGAGAAGGTCTGAGCATCTCTTTCTTCCTGTCCAGAATGCACAGAGGTAAAAAATGTTGCACCTCATCCTCCTCCTAGAAGTTCAAGAAAATAAACCAAATTAATTTTTCCTCAATGCAAGTAGCTGAGGGTTTTTTTTATATGTCTTTTCTATATGTATTTATATGTGTATTTGCATAGATGTGACCCACCTCTACTCCTTCCAGCCACCCTCGATTTCCGCCTCTCACCGAAGCGCTGAGCTGGGGTGCCCACACGTGGTCAGAATGCTCCTACAGCCTTCATGGGGAGCTCGTCTGCATCCTGCACCCCCCAACCTCTGCGATGGCACACAGCAAACTGCCCTATGCATCCCCAAAATGGCACCTTCTCTTTGGCTGGTCGGTGCGCGGAGGCTCAGCAGTAAATAGCCCTGGTGCAGGAATCGGCTTTTGTAACTTCCATGAAGCTGTTGCAACAACGTGCTGCCTTTATTCAATTTTCTTTTTTAAATACGTATATATTTAGTGTTACGTTAGGTGGGTGACCATCTTCCAGAAAGCCTCTCCAGCAATCCCTAGCTCCAGGGACCAAAGCCTCCAGAGCCCTGGACACTCCCCATAAAATACTTCTGATTATTTTTTTTCTTAATTGTTAAACCATCCCTGAGGAAAAAAAAAAAAGCCCTAAATATCAAATGGCAAAGTAAAAAAAAACATGCTGTAGCATGCTGGAAGAGGAAAAGGAGTGGGGACCAGGCAGCCCAGGGTGGGCGGGGCATCCTATTGCCCAATGTGTGCAATTTTGGGGGAAATGTGAGGGCCTGGGTGCACAGCTGGGGCTCCGCAGCCAGCAAGGCACTGGAGCGGCTCTGGAGCGGTCTGGAGCTGTTGGGGAGGGGGGAGAGCAGTGGCAGGGTCAGGGTGTCACCCCCCACACCCCAGATGCTGCACAGTCTCCCACCAAGGCGCCCACCCCGCTCCTGGAGACTCTGCCAAATGAGCAGCCCCCTGATCTGCCCTCCCAACCCTGGGACCTCCCAAGTGCCACCCCAAAGGGTGCCCAACACTAGCGGTTGGGTCTTCATGGCAGCAAGAGGGCATCTTGGGGGGGAAGGAGGGGCTCAATCCCCTCAGACCCCAGCCTTCATGGAGGGGGCGAGTGCTGAGGATTTGCACCAGAGATGGGCACCTGGTTTATTTATGTATTTATTTGAGTAGGAAAAGCACCTTTTTCCAATTGCTCGTTAGCCCCAGAGCACTGCCAAGGCCACCATCAATGGCCCCACCAGTGCCACCAGCTCCCAACACCAGCTTTCACCCACTGTTCCCCAGCTCGTAGGCAAAACCTGCCTCGTGCAGGCCTCCTCCTGGTGCTGGGGGCTGGGGCAGAAGATGACTTTCCTGGTGTGGGGGAAAAAAAAAGGCAAACCCCCAGGAAACCACGGTGGCGTCGCTGCTCAGAGCTGCACCCAGACCCACCCGCACCTCTCAGTGCCCTGCTGGCACCGCAGGGCCAGCAGATTTCAGCCCTCCCAACCCCCCTTTTCTTTTTGTTGTTTTTCTTTAAAACAGTTCCTCTTTGGGCGGTGAGTTCGGGAGATGCCGGGAGGGACACAGCTGGCAAAGGCTGGGCGGAGCTGTGGCGATGTCAATGCCCGGGGTGGGCTGTGTCCCCGGTGCCCCAGCCCCCCCCGCTGCTGCCGGGGCAGCCCGCGATGGTCTGGCCGGGCAGGGGCATCCCGGATCGCCAAACCAACCCCTCTTCAGCGGATGTATTCGGAAACGGCCGGGCCAGAGGCAACTGCGTGGCACGGAGGGTGCCGGCCAGGGAGGAGCGGTGGCTTTGCCGTCTCTGCCTCCGAGGCGGGGCCCCCGCCGTGAAGCTTCTCTGCCAC